GCGCCAGCACCCTTAGAACTAGCACCTCCAGCGCCAGCACCTCCAGCTCCAGCACCCCCCAAACTAGCACCTCCAGTGCCAGTACCTCCAGCTCCACCACCCCTCAAAAGAGCACCCCCAGAACGAGTACCTCCAGTGGCAGCACCTCTAGCTCCAACACCCTCGGAGTCCACAGTAACCTGTCACAGAAGTGCCGAAAGCTGCTGAAGGGACTGTGAGGAGAACTGCGGGGAGGGAGATGCTACCTCACGTACGACCGAGGGTAGAAGGGTAGAGTGAGACACACCTGACGGGGCAGGACCAGGGGGGGGCGGGGGTACCGGAGGAGCGGGAGCAGGGGGAGGAGAGGGTGCGAGGAAGAGGGGGGGAGGGGGAACCGGGAGACCTCAACAGGGGTACCGGGTGTAGTAGGAAACTGACTCGTCAAACTGGACGTCACGAGAGTTAGAAACTGGTGGAGGGCCAAGTGGTGAAAAGAGTAGTCGGGAGAGCCCACCGGGAAACCAAGGAAGTCACAGGGGATGGCGCGAGCCGACAGCTTGTCCGCAGAGGTGTCGCGGACAAGCGCAAGGCAGCCCCAGACGTGAAAAGGCGACCCAACACCAGGGGACCCGGTCCAAAGACTGGTCGGTGAAACCTCTGGCCACGAGACACGCGGCTGGAGGTTCAGCTGGTGCGCGGCGTAGCGCAGCGCGTAGGGCCACAGAAAATGGGGCGCACGGGCATGGATCATGGACGTGTGGGCGATGTCCATGACCAAGCTAATGCGGCGCTCAGCAACCCCATTCGGCTGTGGGGACTCCGGCAGCGTCCAGGACTGTCTGATGCCCTGCTCGCCGTAGAACCCGGCAAGGACGCCGGAGCGAAACTCACCCCCACGGTCGGAGTGGAGACAACGGACACGACTACCACGAGTGCCCTCAGTGGCAAGAAGCCACCGGATCAGCGTAGAAGTCACCTCGGACTTCTTCGCAAGAGGAAACACCGTGGTGTACCTGGAGTAGTCGTCAACGACCACTAGAAAGTTGCGCTCCCTCTCGGGTCCCAGCGTAGGGGCAGAGCCCCAGACGTCTAGGTGGAGAGTCTGGAAGGGAGCAGTGGCCGGACGAAGGGAGGAGGAGTGCGGAGTGGCGCGCAGGCGGCCGGCGACGTAAGGAGTGCAAGGTGGAGCAATCGAGGGAGGGAGCGACGGAAAGATGCGCGGGAGACCGGAGACAATACTAAGACCGGAGACAAGAATGTGACTGGCCATGCTGCGGAGGCGGGGGAGCGACGGGTGGCCAAGGCGGTGGTGCCACAAGACGGTCGGGTGGACTAGGGACCGACAGGAGCAAGACGCAGCAACCTGATCAGACACCACTACCTGACCAGACAAAGCAACCGGACTAGACACTGGGACCGGAAGGGACGCAGCGACCTGAGCGGAGGAAGCAACCAGGGAGCGCTCGGTGTGGAGAACGTAGAGGTCGGAGCGGGGCTCCCTGGTGAACGTGGCCAAAACAGCACCGGTGATAGCATCCGTACATACTGCAGTCCTCTCACCCCCCACAAAGGTAACAGTGATCCCTTTGTCCTGGAGGTATCCAACACCCACCAAGTTCCGAGTGAACGAGGGGATGTGGAGACTGCGTAGAACACTAGAGGGGACCACAGGGCACGGGAGGGTGGTGGAGCTGCGCGCAACGGCTGGTCCTGAGGAAGGATCAGCCAGAGCTACCGGAATAGGAGCAAGGAGCGGTGTGAGCATCGTGTGGTCGTGAAAAAAGCACTGAGACGCATCAGAGTCCAGCGTGAAGGACAGGGACGCCTCAGCCGGAGGTGCACCTGGTCTGGTAGCTACACACGCACCTAGTGCAGCAACACAAGCACCTAGACTAGAAAGACAAAAGTCTACACTAGCAACAAGCAATGATCCTAGTCTAAGAACACGCGAACAAACAGATTCATCAGCACTATAATCAACATCAGCATACAAAGCATACTGACGAGCCTCATGTGCTTCACTCTGCCCTAGACAGTTCAAATACAGGAATCTTACGGGCAAGCAGTTGTGCTCAGCGCGGGGTACGTCCCGCGTGACCGTGACACGCACGGTAGAGGTCGTCGAGGCGGCAGAAGCACCGCGCTGCAGAGTGATCACCGCGCCCGCAGACACAAGGACTACCTGGTCCCATGAGGATCAAGTAGTCGCAGGGGACGAAGTCGCGCCCACGGGGGCGGGGGCCCCAGCTGGCAGAGCTGCCGCTGTGGCCAGTGCTCCCTGGTCCTCCAGGTCCCCACTGCTGCGAGGGGCCCCAGTGCTGCTGCGGACCCCACTGCTGCGGGGGCCCCCACGGCTGAACTTGCTGCGGCACCTGCTGCTGCTGCTGTCCTTGCTGCTGCTGCTGCTGCTGCTGTCCTTGCTGTGGCTGCTGCTGCTGTGACTGCTGCTACTAAGCTCCCGAACCACCGCTCGCGGCAACAACTCCACCTGACGGGCCCGCCTGTCCAGGACCGCCTTCAGGGTCTCCTCCTCCAGGAGCACCAGTACCGCCTCGGCTGCCACCACTGCCACTCCCAGCTCCACCTCCTCCACCTCCACTGCCACCACCCCCCTTCCCCCCCTTCTTGCCACCCTTGCCCCGTTTCTGCCAACCAACGGCAGAAACACCTGCAGTCTTATCAGAGACAGACACCGCAGCAGTGGCACGAGTAGCAGTGAAGGTGGGAAGCTGAGGAACAGCACACCCCTCAAAGAGACGGGGAGCTACTGCGTCAGTGGCAGAGGCAACGGAGAGGAGGTTACTTTCGATCTTCGAGAGAGTGGTCTCAAGAAGATCGATCGTAAGCTCACTGGGGTGCTTCTGAAGAAGCACGTCACGGGCAGAGGAGAGGCGGTCAGGGAGGCGAGTGACTAACCAGTGCACGGTGAGCCACATAGGAGGGGGGGCAAGCAGAAGCTGAGCCTCAGTGCAGGCTGCACGGTAGCTAGTGTCGAGGGAACGCAGGTGAGTGGCAAGTTCGGAGACAGTCGCAAACGACCCAAGGTCAGGAAACGCAAAAGGCATGAGGAGGCGGCTGAGGGAGGCAGAGGAAGGGGTGGAATAACGCGCAACGATAGCATCATAACAACCATTTCCCAGTCTCGACCTGGGAGAAGTGAACGGCCTTAGTCGGTGGGAGAAGGTCCGTCAGCGCGAGAGCGGCGGCAGCGTCGCGAGAGTCCCAGACGTCACGCGCCAGGAAACGCCGGTCGTAGTCCGCCTGCGCCTCGGAAGTGGGAGCAGGCTCAGTAGGCAAAGGGCCGGGGCGTGCAGGGGCCCGGAGCGTGCCAGACGCGTGGGCGTACAAGGTGGCACCGTCCTGGCGCTGACTAGTAAGGTGGCGCTGAGCCTGGCGGAGCCACGTACTAAAGTCGATAGGACGGCCCTCCGCATCAAAACGTAGGCGGCGGGAGGACTCCATAGTAACAGCTAGAAGCGGTCGTGTTAGGAGCGACTGAAGCTAGGAGCGGCCAGGAGAGGAGTGGCTGGAGCTAGGAGTGGCCAGGCTAGGCGCGACCGGAGCTAGGAGTGGCCAGGCTAAGAGCGGCCGGAGTTAGAAGCGTCGAGCTACAGACGAGCGAAGCTTGGAGTGAGCGGAGCTTGGAGCGCCAGGTTTGAAAAACGTCGGTCGGAAACCTAGTTTAGGAGGAGACCAAAAAACCTACTCTAGCAAACGGAGAGAAGAGCGGCTGCCAGCCGCCGTGGAAGATGCCTATGGCAGGAAAATCGTCTCAAAGCGCGAGCACAGCAACGGTGGAGGGGGAAGAGCCCGCTGCTGGGTGGGGTGGTGTGGCAGTTCGTAGTGCGCGCTGCAAGTGCTAGGACGCGCACTGCTGGAACGTGCGAGCTTGACTGGGCGGCGGTAGCTGCTGCCGCTGGCGGCTGCGGGCGCTAGCAGTGTGGCTGCTGCTGGCGGCTGCAGGCGCTAGCAGTGCTGCTGCTGCTGGCGGCTGCAGGCACTAGCACTGCTGATGCTGCTGGCGGTTGCGGGCGCTTGCGCTGCTGCTGCTGCTGGCGGCTGAGCGCAAAGCAGGCGTGCGCTGCTGCGTGCGCGGCTGCTGCGCGTGCGCGCGTGGCCTGTGCGTGCGTGGCGGCTGTGCGTGCGCGCGGGCTGGCAGGACGTGGCAGAACGGGCCCTTGGGGGCCTACCAATCGCGGCTATACGGGGCCCACTGGCGTGGCGTGCAGTGGCGCACTACTGCGACGGCCTGCCTAAACGCGACGGGCCTGCCTAAGCGCGATGGCCTGTCTAAGAGCGACGGCCCGTTAAAGCGCGTGGGGAAAAACGGGCCACGGTGGCCTGCCTAAGCGCGACAGAATGGGGAGGGGCGGGGCCTTAATAGGCTCGATGGACTAACTAGGACTAAAAGGCCTAGGAGTCAACCTCATGATACCATCTCAGAAGTTACATAGCGGAATGATTGGTAGTAAGGGAGAGGGGAGTACAAGGCAAGAGTCGAGAAAAGTTATGTACCCCCTACTGTGAACTCTACTCAGGCTACAATTCTAACAAACTTGTAAAACAACATTTGAGAGCAACATCCACACTCATAACGAGAAACTCTTTTCAAGAAGTGTAAAAAATATTCTAAGTAGTTTAAAAAGTTTCCATTTATAAGAATTATAAGACACCCAAAACCTCCCCAAATACAAGATAACCCAAGCATTCTTTCTAGTGTATGAGATAAGACATATATGTCTTATATCCGGGCGATGACGGTACATGACAACTTCCCTTGATAGAATTGGGACAAAAATGAAGGCAACTCTTCACTTGCTTGCACACCATCACACCGCCGCCACTCCACTCCTTCCACCCGACCCATCACCCTGGGCATAGCCTGCACATGCCATCCCACGTAGCACAGCATCCCCCTTAAACTGTGACTCACACCATCACTGCCACACCACCATCCACTCCTATTGTCGCGCCCTGGGGCGACTAGAGTGCGTGGAAGCAGCAACCGAGCAGCCCCCTCACTTGACTCTCCTCTTGAACGCATACTCCACATCGGAGGGTCCCGGGCCAACACGGCGAGCGGAGGCACGGATGAGGGCGCCGTGGGAGAGCATGCGCTGCAGCACCCGCGTGATGTTGAGTGCGTCGTCCAGCCCCACGTGGTGCGTGCCCAGGGGCGCCATCTGCAGCCCCTTCATCATTGGCATCATGCCCGATGCCTGCGCATGCCATGCCATGCAGTGTCATGCCGTGCCATGCCATGCCATGCCATGCGGTGTCATGCCGTACCATGCCATGCCATGCCATGCCATGCCATGCGGTGTCATGCAGTGTCATGCCGTGTCATGCCATGCAATGCCATGCCATGCCATGCCATGCCATGCCATGCCATGCTATGTTGCGCCTGACGCTCTGGAAGGGCAGCGTCCAGCGTCCGGACGTTCACATCCGGACGCTGGATGCGTCAAATCAATTTGACGCTGGACGTTCGGGAAAAAAAAAATCGGGCAGCCCGAAAAAAAAAATTCCCCGCACGAAATTTACTCGCGATTTCATCGCGACCAGAATTGCGATGAGATCGCCAACTGGGGGTTGCATTTTTTACCTAAAAAACGCAACCCACATTTATTCCCCCCCACACATTTGTACCCATCCACATCTACTTCTCCCAACCAGGTCGACCCCGAACTAAACTAGAGAACCAGATCTAGGTCAACACTACACAGATCTGTTTCTCACGACATTGCCAAGCATTCCTTACACTAGAATACGCCATTCACGCTACTAAACCTTCCAAGCTAAAATTAGGTTAACGCGATTAAGAAATTATGTCAACTCTTAGTCTGGAGTATTTATAACTTTTGGTTAACTTCTTGTATTCTAATCCCTGCGTATCCTTACTAGGCAGGTTTTTTTACCCCTGCCCGGGAAAAGTTTTGCCCTGCCCGGACCCCCGTGGAGAAAGACGCGTCCAGCGTCCTGAACGCATGCGTCCAGACGCATGCGTCCAGACGCTGGACGCTAGTTTCTGGCCCCCGGGACGCAGCAAAAGACGCAGGTCCGGGCAGCCTAAAAAAACCCCCCGGGCAGCCAAAAAAAGTTATAGGGCAGAGGGAAGGGGGGGGGGGGGACCGTAGCACACTTTCATGGCAAAATTTCTCCGCAAAAACAGAATTTCAACCTCAACACTCAAGCATGAAGGTGAGTTGCAAAATTTCCATAATCACATTTAGTCCAAGGGTGGTTTAGCATGCATACTAACACTAACATGCATCACTCATCCTCCACCTCCTCGCTCTCCATCTCCTTTTCCTCCTCCTTCTCCATGTCCTCCTGCTCCTTGTACTCGTCGAAGGTGATGTCATCCTCATCCACCTCCACCTCTCCATCCTCCTCAAGCTTGTACCCCTCAGGAAGGGGAAGGGGGGGAATGTTCCTCTCCACTATCCCCGCCTTCCTGACTTCCCCACTCGGCCCCGCACCGGCCGCACCCTTGTGGTGGTTGTGCACAACGTTCCAGTTGTGCGCAACGAACACAAGGTCGCGGACCTTCTCCGAACCCAACCTGTTCCTGCGCGCCGTGTGCACGCCATCCCACGTGGACCATCCGCGCTGGCATGGTGAAGCGGAGACGGGCTGTGAAAGCGCCCGGCACGCAAGGCCAGCCAGGTCGCGGTACTCCCAGCTGTTCACCTTCCACCACGTCACCATGTCCCCCTTCCCGGCCTTAATCTCCGCCCGGCCCTCTGTCGCCTCTTCAGACCCGAAGCACCCCTTGCCCTCAAGTATCGCAAGCATCACCTCCTGCAGCGCCTTCATCGTCCCCTTAGTGTCGCCGCCGCTCTTCCAATACTTGTCGACGAATGCTCGCGAGCGCTGGAGCCACGCCTTCATCACCCTGGTGCACTCGACGTCCTTATGGTAGATCCCCTCCTCCTGGTTGGCCGGGTTCAGAATCCGGCCAACCACGTGAAGGGGGCAGGCCAAGCTCTCGTCTCAACGCCGCCTCAAGTGCTCCTTCACCCCATCCTTATCCGCCCTCTTGAGCCCACAATCATCCTTGTCCAACAGCTCCCGCAATTCCTCCGTCAGCTGAAGCATGATGCCGTACAACTCACCCATCCTCCCCTTCGCCTCCCCATCGGTCCGCCTCATCACCTTGTAGGGCAGCTCCATCACCTTCACGAATGTCTCCGCTTTCTTCCACCACTCCACATTCAACACCGACGCCGCAAATGTCTTTCCAGTCTGCGTGCTACCTCCCTTCTCCTCCCAGTTCATGTGCGTCACCATCCCCGTCAAATGCAGACGAATCTTGAGCAGCCGCGACACAGCGATGTAGTTCGTCCCAAAGCGCGTGCCCGCCGGGCACAGCGGCTGCAGCAACTTCTCCTCGCCGTGCAGCTCGGGACACCGCAGGAAGGCGCGCGTCCACGTGTGGCTGCGCACGTATGAGATGATGTCGTTCGCAACAGTGACGACATCCTGCGCCCAATCCATCTCGCCGATGTCCTCCATCAGTAGGTCGAGCACGTGAGTGGCGCAGGGAACGATCTCGAGATGCGGGTACATCTTCTGCAGCTTCTTGCCGGCGGACACGTAGTTGATGCCGCCGTCCGTGCACACAGCAACGACGTGCTGCGGCCCAATCTACTCGATGATCGGCTGCAGGATGCTCACGATGAACGCCCCAGTCTTACAGTCGACCGCCTCCTGGAAAACCGCGCCGCTGTCGTTGATACAAATGATGTTCATCTGCACGCGCCCGCTCTTATCCCGCATCATGTCGCCGGCAATCGTCACGCCGGTCTCCGTCCAGGTTTTCGTAATGGGCTCCAACCCCTTTTCAATTCGCCGCTTGCACTCCTGCAGCCCGAGGCCGCCAACGAAGTCACGCTTGGGGGGGACGTAGCTGCTACCAGCGGCAGCAACGGCGCGCAGCATGTTGAGGAAGAGCGGGTGCTCGGACTGACGCTCCGCCGTGCGCGTCCCCGCGAAGTAGAGGCAAACTGCCTTGTCGGCCGCACGCTTCGCCGTCTTCCCCCCCTCGCCATACCAATCCTCCATCCGCCCCTTCTTAGCCTTCGGTCCCGCACTGCCTCCGCCGCTCACTGCATTGAGCGCCGCGTCCGCCGCCCTCTCCTTTTCCTTGCGCGCCGTAATCTTGCTCTCCTTCCCGTCGCGAATGGCGTCCGAAACGCGCTTAGGAACCTTCGCGCAAACAATTCCTCCGTCGCGCCGCACGTTCTCGTCGTTCCATTCGGCGAGATGCTGGGTGCATCGGCTACTACTAAAGGCGAACTCTTTCCCGCACCAAAGGCACTCGCATTGCTTCCCCTTCTTGGTCGGATCGTCGAAGGTCCAAAAATACTTATAAATATGGTGATTAGGGCTTTGCGGTTTTTTCTCAACGCCATCCTTGGTGAAACGCTTGGGGGGAGTATCGCCGTTGGGAAGGACATCTTTCGATGCGCTAGAAGACGAGGGATTGCTAGAGCTAGCCATAACGGTCGTGAGAGCAAAGGGGCTAAAACCACTAGGGTTTTTGAAAGAGAATTGGGTTGTGAGAAAAGTGAGCACAAATGAGAGGTTTCATGAACTAAATGGGCTTTGTGGTGGTGGTGGGCCACAAAGGTTGGGTTTTCTAGATGTTGAGCGGTGGGGAGGGGTTGGATTCCAATTCAAATTTGCATTACGTGGGTTACAAATGGGTTAGATGGCTGGTTTTGGGGGTCGAAATTGGCTGGGGGGGTCGAATTTTGGCGAAATTGACATTCGCGACGAAATCGCGAATGTCAATTTCGCGATCGCGGAAAATTTATTTTTTCGGTCTGCCCGAAAAAAATTCCGCCCTGCGTCCTGCGTCCGGACGCGCGTCCTGCGTCTTTGCGTCCGGACGCTGCGTCCGGACGCAGGACGCAGGGCCGCCCCAGCGTCTTTCTCCACTTAGGCCCGGACTAGCGTCAAGCGGGCGTCCAGGGCAGAGGACACCGGGCGTCAAGCGTCTGGACGGGGCGTCCAGACGCCAGCGTCAAAAACGCCTGACGCGTCAGGCGCAACATAGATGCCATGCGGTGTCATGTTGTGTCATGCCATGCCATGCCATGTCGTGCCAAGCCATGCCATGCCATGCGGTGCCATGCCATGCGTGTCATGCCATGCCATGCGGCGTCATGCCATCCCATGCCATGCGGTGCCATGCCATGCCATGCCATGCCATGCCAAGCCATGCCATGCCATGCCATGCGGTGTCATGCGATGCCATGCCGTGCCATGCCATGCCATGCCATGCCATGCCATGCGGTGTCATGACATGCATGTCATGCCATGCCATGCGGCGTCATGCCATGCCATGCGGTGTCATGCCATGCCATGCCATGCGATGTCATGCCATGCCATGCGGTGTCATGCCATGCCATGCGGCATCATGCCATGCCATGCCATGCGGCATCATGCCATGCCATGCCATGCGGTGCCATGCCACGCCTCGCTACACCACGTCACGCCATGCCATGCCATGCCATGCCATGCCACGCCACGCCATGCCATGCCACGCCACGCCATGCCATGCCACGCTATGCCATGCCATGCCACGCTACGCCATGCCATGCCATGCCACGCCATGCAATGCCACGCCATCCCATGGCATGCCATGGGATGCGATGACATGCCCCGTGGAATAGAAGCATCGTTGACGTCGATAAACATTGGCGCATTGTGGAGGAAAAAGGCAAGAGAGAGCATCGGGACGACCGGTCCAACAGGTGGATGGATCAGCAGTAAACAGAAGGGTGTAAGAAGGTTAGCCTCACAAATCCCGCAGGCGGGAGGAGAACGTTGAAGTAGACGAGCTTCACGAAACCCACAAGCCTGACCTCACTGACCTCAACTCGTGCGCAGTGGGGCAGTGACACACCTTGCGCTTGTAGAAGTTGAGATACACGTCCTTGAGGTTGGTCCACTGCAGGAAGTAGGTGGGCAGCGGCACCTGGCTGTCACGGCACTGCTCCACTATCTTGCTCTTCACATCCCAGTTGCCACATGTCACCACTATCGCCGACCGTAACCCCGGCCCATGGCCCAGCGCTTGTGCTGCTGCTGCTGCCGCTGCTGATGCTGATGCTGATGCTGCAGCACCATCACGCTCCTCCTCCTCCGTTCTACCCGCTTCCACAGCATCCTCCGCACTCCAGGTGGTGGTGGAAGTGTTGCTACTGTGATCCAGCAGGTTGTGCTGCTCCAGCCACTGCTCAAACTCCGCCAGCACTTGAGCGAACGGGATGGCAGTGTCATGCCACACCCTGGTGAACACAGAGACACAGCAGGAGGGGGTTGATGGAGTCACTCACAAGGGAGAGGAGGGAAGAAATGGAAGAGCGCGTGTGAAGGGAAGGGGAATGAGGGAGGAGAGGCAGAGATGGAGAAGCAAGTGAAGGTGAAGCCAAACGTTTCCAAGTGACCACAGTGGTGGTGCTTGTTGGGCGACGGCAAGGGCAGGCACGAGGACCATTGTGATGTGGTAAGAGTACAGCGACGTTGCAGCGATGCGCATGCGATGTGCAGACAGTGCAGTGCAGTGCAGTGCTCACCTGGCCAGTCCCCACGGCCCGTACTTCCCTCCGATGTACTCCGCCTGCCGTTCCTCTGTCATGAGGTCAGGGCGCACAAAGCTGCAGGGCGAGGGGGAGCATGCAGGGCGAAACATGGAGAGATGTGAGGTTCGCCACTGAGAGTCGATGGGAGGAGGGCGGATGGGACTCGCAGCAGCAGACAGGTTCTTGCTGAAAAGGATGTGCGAGCGGTAGGAGCTCGGCTGAAGTGCGTGCATGGGTGTATGGGTGCATTGCCGCATGGTTGGTTGCACAATGTCAGTGTGGTGATCCTGAGCATCGCACGTACCGGTGGAAGTGGCTGACGACTTGCAGGGAGCGAGCGCAGAGCAGCACGACGGGGAACTCGAGGATCTCCACGCGCCCCTCCAGGTCCAGCACCAGGAAGTACTCAAACGCCTGCTTTCGCACCCTTTTCAGCTGCCCCGCCCGCATCGACAGGTCGGGCAGGTCGTGCGAGAACCTTTTCAGGTGGTCTTTGTCCGCGCTGAGAGTGCACTTCCCTTGAGTGTGGTAGTAGCACAGCCGCCGCCACTGCCTGCTGGACTTGCCTCCTCTCTCCCCACTCTCTCCGCTCGCTCTTCTCTCTCTGCTCTGGCTTGTCTCTCTTGTCTCGCGTCCCTTGCTAGCCTCCTCCCCCTTCCCTCCCACCTCCGTGCTGACACCAACCTGCCGCCCTGATTGCTGCTCTTCTCTCTGCGCTCCCACTTGTGCTCCCCCTCGCGCTCCCCCTTGCAAACCCCGTCGCTCATCCCCCCCCAATCCCACGCTACCGCGACTGCTGCTCGCTTGCCCGCAAGCAGCTGACGTCATCAGCCGCGCTGCTCCGCTCAGCGCAGCTCCCCCCTGCGCGCCACCGCACCCCCCGCGCAACTCGAGCGCGTGCGGAGGAGAAACAATTCTGAGTTCTGAACTGCGGTAGTGAATGGGCTGAAGCCAGGAGCGGCTAGTAGTCGAGCGCGGTGGTGAATGGGAAAATGGTTGCTCTCGATCGCGGGGGTGGCGCGAATGCGAGAACGAAGAAAATGGGGGCCTGCGCGGAGAAGGACCTCTGAACGGCGTTCGTTTTAGAAATGCAGGTGCGTGGGTGGGGAGTTGTATTCTGTAGGCAGTGCCGCTGCTGGTGAGCAACATGGTGCGAATAAACGCCGGCCCCGAGCGTCTCTCGATGGCTGCTGCTGGCTTCGCGGCTAATCGGATGACAACTACACGAGCAGCAATAGCGGGGCTTGCTCCCCGCACCACGACCGCCACGCGCGACCCCACAGCCGCGCCTAGCATGCCGCCCACCCGGCAGCCGCTGGCGGGCCGAAGGCGGGAGATCGGGGAGTGCGTGCTGAAAGCTGCGAGGAAGAGAAGAGAAGGAACGGATGGCGGTGGCAGGAAAGCTGGGCGTGCGGAAGGTAATGCGGCAGGCAGGAGTGTGTTAGTTGTACTTATGTTATGAATGAACTTGCAGAGTCTGCAGAATAACGAATATTCTAGAATGAACTCAAAAGACGACACAATGAAAGTAGCGAGGCCTAAATAGGGGAAATCCTAGCTAGGCGAAGATGTAGGGCGAAGATGGCTCGGTGATGGTTGCGATTGGAGCGGGGCCGACTCGGGAGTGGTTCGGTGCGACGAATTTGGCCGAACAGGTTCATCGCACCACCCTCGGGATGACCTCGCTAACGAGTGCCTCAGTAAGGATTTGTATATCCTTACACTCTCCCACCTCCTAAATAAGGCAGCTGTGTAGTGAAATGAGTCCCACATTAGCAAGCCTAAGTGAATCAGACGGCTGAAATTGCCTCCAATTTGAAGAAAGGTTGGAACTAAGGCTGTCGATGTAGTCAGATTTCGATCTGACGGACGCGGTTGAACCGGCCCAAAATGAGGTAGAAGTTGGAATGTGGGCCGTCGATCAGGCAGGAAAAGATCTGACGGTTGAATGCTGATGCGATTTTGGAGGGAACAGTCTGATGCAAGATTCAATAACGGCTGCTCATGGACGTTGATTTCAAGGTCGCGATCGTAGCCGTCTCTCGTGCTGCCGCATTCTGACAAAGTCAGAATCATGCCGAGAAAATGTGAAGGAAAGAACAGTGCAGCGCACTTTCTCCGGCCAATTTCAGGGCCCGGTTCGGCAGGCATTAAAAAAACGGTTTCCCCGGTTGGGCTACAGTAAACCGACCACCCTGGAACCTTCTTTGATAAGCGCGTGAAATGTTATCTAGGCTCGACATAAGCGGATGATTGCCGAACCAGACAATAATGGAATGCCAGCCGAACACCCCTTTTAACGCAGGCATTTTCCACCAGTGGAACCTTCCTCGAACCATATTTCTCAGGCAAACTGTCCATTTTCTCATCCGCCGAACCATGCGGCCTCGAGGTCCCGCACCATGCGGGGGATCATTGATTCGGGGCAATCACACCTTGCCCTGAAAAAAACAATTCCCGGTCTTTCTCACCCCTCTTCGTGCCCACTGGAAAATTGCACATCACCAACACACCATCACTAACACATCGAACGGACAGTTTCCCTTGGCCGATTTTTTTCGACGTCTACCGCTGGTTTGCAGGGTTGCCCAGGCTGCCAAAACACTGATTTTGCGCTCCATCAGCGCGGCTGTATACAGGCTTCTCCGAAGTGTCGTTTTCGGTTGATGCCATTAATCTTGGCTCAGTTATTGCCATCCGAACACTCGGGCCCAGTTTTACGAAGTTTCATTGCAACTAGAGTCTGTTTCTTGGGGCCATTTTTTGGGGGGGCGTTAAAAATGCCCATAATGGCGATAATGGCGAGAATGCCTGCCGAACTGGGCCCAGGTGCATGCAACTTAGTCATGTTTCTCCCTCTGTTATTACTCCTCCGCCACGAAAACCACTGTTTGTCACGGGATGTGTGAAGAAATGAGGAATGAATGAATGAACTAGGAAATGAGTTGGGTACAAATATGAAACCCTAGAAAGCTGTACCCCATACTGTCTACCCCACTACAGCCTAGAAAGACTATAGCATATAAGTTTGACACACCCCCATAGGCAAAGTGGGGGAGAACAAGGGGTCACAAGACCAGTCGAGCAAAGCACAGCAAGCTCAGGGTGGATCACAACGTCACCACACATTCTGAGCACAAGTTCAAGAGCCACAAGGCCAGTTCACATGCAGAGATATATATATAAAGCTAAACATGCAAGTGCAAGTATATATAGGTCAAAGTATAAGCAAGGTCAAGAAGTGAGCAAGTGAGGCAAAGTAGGTACAAGACCTAACAGAGTACAGAAGCGCTGATGATCACAAGGCGCGAGTGCCTTGGTGAAGATATCAGCAGTGTTGGCCTGAGAGGCCACGTAAGCAAGTCGCAGCTGACCACGCTGCTGTAGCTCACGAGCAAGGAAGTAGCGAAGAGCAATGTGCTTCGTTCTGTGCTCTAGTCTGTGCTCACGACACAAGGCCAGCATGGCCTTGTTGTCTACGTACAGAACTGGAGGAGAACGAGGCGGCTCTCCGAGGTCAGTCAGCAGATAGGTGAGCCAGCGTAACTCCTGTGCAGCCATGGCCCCTGCGTAGATCTCAGCCTCACAGCTGGAGCTGAGAACAGAAGAAGAACGGGTAGACCGCCACGAAACAGAACCGGAACCAAGGCTGAAGGTGTAACCCTGTGACGACCGCTGCGTAGCCAAGTCGTCAACCCAAGACGCGTCTGCGTGACCAGTGAGGACCACTGGACTCCGCCCTCCAAGCACTAGCCCCATGCCCGACGTACTGCACAAGTAGCGCAACACCCTCTTCGCTGCAGCCATGTGCTCAGGGAGGTGTCTCCCAGGAGCAACATAGCGTGCCAGAATGCTAAGAGGGTATGCAAGGTCAGGTCGTGTGCAGGTCATCAGGTACATGAGGCAGCCAACAAGCTCTGGGTACGGGCCACTCGGCTCTACGGACTCATCCGAAGGCAGAGCTGAGAGCGAGTGGCGAGTAGACAGAGGAGTGGCCTGTGGCGAGGAGTACGTGAAGCCGAAGCGCTGAAGGACCTGCTGCACCATGTGTGACTGAGTCAGGGTAATGGTGCGCTGTGCTCTGTCCCGGGTGATCTGCAAGCCAAGGTAGCTGCGCAGTTCACCCAGGTCTGTGCACGTGTGTCTCTTCTGCAGCTCGGACTTCACGTGGGCGAGTCCAGCAGTGTCAGCTGTGGCAAAGACCAAGTCGTCGACGTACACAAGGATGTAGAACGGCAGCAAAGAGGTGTCGGTGCGCAGAAACAGCGACGGGTCGGAAGTAGAAGGAGCAAACCCAAGAGCCACAAGTGTAGTCCTCAGTGTGTCGTGCCACTCACGAGGTGCCTGGCGGAGACCGTAGACTGGCCGCCGGAGGCTCCACTGGGTGCCAGGAGGAAAAGACCCAGTGAAGCCAAGTGGGCGGCGCAACCAGATCTCCTCGTGCAGGCTGCCCTGTAGGAAAGCAGTGCTGAAGTCAAGAGAGTGAAGCTCGTAGTCGCGCTGAGCGGCTATGTGCAGCAGTACCCGAAGAGTGGTCATCTTCGGGGTGGGAGAGAAGGTCTGAAAGTAGTCAACTCCCTGCCGCTGACTGAAGCCTCGAGCCACGTAACGCGCCTTGAAGACAGGCGGAGAACCCGGGGGCCGCTTCACCCTGAAAATCCACATGCCACTGACGATGTTCGCCCCAGGTGGGGGAACCTCGTCGACGTAGGTGCCTGTGGACTTCCAGGAAGCCATCTCTGCGTCCATGGCTGCCTACCACTGAGAGGAGTAGGGACCCTCTATCGCCTCCGCGTAAGAGCGCGGAGTCGGGATGTCTGGTGCATCCGGGTCTCCCTCAGGGGCCAGCAGCATGGACACGAGATGAGGTGAAGCAGCAGCAAAGCACTGGAACTCCTCCTGCCTGTCCTCAAGGACGTCCGTGCGAAGGGCACACTCACCCCCGACGGACGGAGGACAGACAGACTCAGACTCAGCGACAAGACTAGCAGCGTAGTCTAGACGACAGCGAGCAGCGAAGTCGACAAGCTCAGCAACAAAGGCAGACGCAGCAGTGGACTCAAAGGAAGGGTCAG